CCCCTTACCCACAACCACACACACAGGTGTGCGGCCTTTTTTGCAACCCGCGTGCAGACCAGTTGACCAGTTGACCCGGCCTCGACGTTTCCGGGCGGCAGTGCTGGAGGGTCTGCTGGGCCTGCTGGGCTTTCTGGGCGGGGGATTTGAGGGAGATGGGAAGAAGATGGGAAGATGTGGCAGGTGGCAGGGGTAGCGGCTCCACAGCGGGTGGGGCGTGACCGTCTTGAGCAAATGGCGAGCGTGCAGTCTCTAGCTAGGAGGGATGCGGTTTGATTCCATTTAACCTAGACCAGACAGTTTGAGGCCAAGGCCGAAAGGCAAAGGCAAAGCGGGCTGCAAAACATTGAAAGCATATGGGCGCCGCGCGGCAACTCTGTGCTGGTTGCCAGGGAGGAACTGAACTTGACGATAGTGCGCCGGGCAGTGCCAGTCGCGCGGGGCGCCATCGGCCGTGTAGGAACGTCGTGCCCCGTACTATTTTTGCCGATGACGCAGGTACCACCGACGGCGCGACACCTTGCGTATTGGCCGCTCTGGTACTCCGTATCCGCACTAACAGCAGATACCAAGCCCCGTTGGTTGAACCCCTGACTTTTGTTCCCGATGGGCGGGCTGGAGGACACGAGCCAGTCGTCACGGCGGCAAACCCGATGCAATGTTGCCTTTGTCAAGAAACATGGCCCATACGGAGCACAGCAGCATCTCGTAATAGAACCAGGGTCGGCACGCAGCCGAGAGTGGAGAGCGCAACAGTGACAAATCCTGCAGCGTGATACCGCCTTGTGCATTGGCAAGAATGGATTGGCCTCGTACCAATACTTACGCACAACTCTCATTCCACTCTGCTTGGCGGGTCAGAATGCCCAGACTCTAGAACCATGGTGCCGGGCATCGCCACACAAATAATACGGCGCCCGGCGTCGAACAGGGCCAAGAATTGCCAGAGGCTCAAGTTTTGCAACAACTGTAGCCAAAACAAAACAAGAGCAAGATGCCAGTAGGCGAACCCTGCCGGCGTCGATTTTCAGGGACACGCAACACCAATGTAAAACCGGCACCGTCTGGCCCAGGGACCAGCGCCTCCGGCTCGGGAGCAGCATTGCGTCGGGGTTTCGAACTTGACCCGTCTCGCTTTGTTTCTGGGGGAAGCCTGACGGCTTGTCGCTGCCGGTGAAGCAAATTTTGACCAGCCTTGCCGCCGAGAGAAATACGCAACAGCTTGTTGCAATCAATTGTCCAGCCAAGCCCGCGTCAAGCCCATGGTAGAGCGAGTAACTATTCCATACAGCCCTTCCAAATAATACTCCGTGCCACCAGTCTTTTGTTATGACTCGGTCGCATTTGCGCTCGCAGTAGCACTGGCATGCAAAAACGCGCGCCCAAGCAGAGACGACCAAACACTGGCGCTGCCAACCGTCGTCACATGATGGGAGTTATCATCCCCGACCCAGCAGCGTCACCAAGAGCTACAGATATTTATACATCATGAGAATTACACATGTGCCGAGCATACGTTCGTTCTAAATATACGTGAAGCAGTTCATCTCTTCAAACGCAGGTATCAAAAGGCCACGGCGCGCCCAAAACACAACCATTGTCTCACCAACCCAGGCTCCCCCCCCTCCCATCAGTGCCGTCACGCCAGCCATCAAGGGCCTCTCAGCAGCAGCCGCAAAGCCATGGCATACCCTGCCCCTACACCTGCACTGTCTCGAGTTGCTGTCGGCCCGCTTGAGGCATTGCCATTTGATCGGCCACCCTGAATTGGAGTGCGTGGGTGTGCCTCAAGTTGTGCGCCCACTGTCGTCATCAGAGTGTGTCATCGGCGTGGGGGGAAGATGGTAATTCATATTCAGCCCAGAAAGCACATGACATTACTGACAGAAGAAGACGTACTTAAAACGTACGAGTGCTCTGTAAGGTGTGGAAATGTCTTGCCAGCTTTTCGATACATCCGTCGCATTGTCTCATCAAGCAAACCAGTTCACTAACCGACAATCATGGCTGTATAGATTCAAAAATATCCAAATCATCTAATGCATGCGTCCTCTGTGTGTTCCTCCATGTAGTGTGAAGCCACGCCCTCATCTATAGCATATCCCACTGTGTGTTCCACGGTTGATTCCGCTGCGTATAATCAACGCCATGCTTGTACGAACTCGTCAGCTCCTCTTGATCTATCCCGCAATGTATTTGTCCATCCCGGCCCTGAAACCATCCCAGACCATAAGTCTTGCCATCATCCAGCTTCCTTACCATTTCGGCATTACTCAGCTTCTCCGTTCCCACAAAATCATACAGCATCTTGCTTTGGTGAATATATGCCAACACGGATGAGATTGTGTTGGGCTGTCGTGGTAAGAAAGGATGGCGTCGCCGGACAAAGACAATACAAGACACGACACTCATGTACAAGAGGATAAACATGACGATGCCAAAAGAGACGTAAAATGAATGAATCGTCTCTTGTCCAGAGTTGATTAGTTTGCTTCTGTCCTGATCAACACCGCCATCGCCGTTGAGTAGGAAATCCTTGCCATCAACCGTGGCCAGACCGGTCACAAGAATGGTCAAGAACTCGGCAATGACACTGCCAAAGCCAACAAGAAACATGACTGTATGACCATTCAAGAGTGCCTTGATGGGAAGATAGCCGAATGGCATGGCCGTGTAATCCAACGCCAACAGGACTGACGGTGCATGCCTCTTGGATAGTATGTAGTAAGGCTCCATCATCCGAACAGCGGTTTCTAAAGAATTCCAGCTCATTTTGAGACAGACGGCTACAGCCGTCACAAACCAAGGCGCCTTGTCCGAGACAACATCTGCTTTAGTGAAAAGGATAGCGGGGATGAATCCCATAAAACCCCAGAGGGCGATGGCAAATGGGATAAACCCAGCCAACCGCAACATCAGCGGATGAGGGTTTTCTGATAGATGTACATCTTCGTATCTCTCCCTCTCTTGCGATGTCGCTGGATTCTCATTGTCAGGCGCCAGCGATGAATTTCGCAACATGTATCGATTATGTTTCAACTTTTGGTGAATATCTTTATGTTTGGCGGTATCCATATCTTTGAAGTCCATTAGTATGTGGCTCACAACGGCCATGGAAGCCAAGCCAGCAATCCCCTGCACGTCGGATAGTAACCCGGTACGTCTGCTCTGGAGCAAAAAAAGCAGGCCAATGCCCGCCGCGGAACACAAAACTAGCGTTGAAGTCAAAAGCCGTGACCATGCCGGGGAAAAATGCAGATATTTATCGTCATTTGGGTGGATCAGTCTCTCCTCGCGACTGGGTGAAAGTATAATTGACGCAGACGCAAATGTCGGAACAAGAGAAATAGCCAGGGTAGTTGCAACCGATGAAAGGGCCACTGCATAGTGCCCCAGGGTTAACGCTCGAAAGGGCCGAAAGAAACTAAAACTCGTCACATAGTCAACATTGATCGACTCGGCCGCCAACGCGCCGCCTGGTTTGGATAGTTGGTAAAATGCTTCCAGGCGTCTAACTTCGAAATCGATGAATTGCCACAACACCCCGTAAACGACGGCGGAGAGAGTAGGTGCAAATTTCACAGCAAAATAGAGGCCTGGCTTGAGGTCGCCGGGCTTCTGGAACTGCAACAGAGGCGTTTTCGAGTATTTTCGAAAGAGAACCTCTTGCATGACGGCCAGAGCGACAGAAAGCAAGACCATGATGGTAAGATAGGGCCATCGCATGGACCACGGTTTCCAATTTGGCTGGGGATAAAATATTTGCGTTTGTTGTCCTTTGCTTGCTACCGTACTTCGCCGGCTGTCGGAGTCCCAGAGCATGTTTGATCCTTCAAAATTGCTGAGGTCGGTTGGTGCCGTCTCGAGGACAACTTCGATCACCTCTCCTCGCCGGTTGGCCTCATCTTGACCCTTGAACTGAATAGTCTCGTTTCGTGTTAAATGTTTGGCCGACTTGCGCCGCGTAAATGATCTGGTGAGGCTCCTCTTTATTGATGTCGGGCTGGACAGAAGCTCCATGTCCCGAAGCGTAGATTCTGGTCGGAAGCCTTGACCTAGTCCGCCTGTAAGATTTCCATTTGCTTCCTGTTGCTGCAGACTTCTAATAAATTCAGCATCATGGGTGGTCATCGGCCCCATAGCAGATGTAATGTCGACTGCGGGCGGTACCATCTCGTCATCTTCTGCAATCAAATCGTAGCGCGCACCAGTACCCATAGGCGCCGCTGATTGAAGCAGAGACAGGTCATACCCTTCCTCTTGTATGCTTTCTGGTATATTCTGCCTTCTCAGAGAGCGGTAGCTGGGCTTGCGCGTGTCGATGGACTGCGTTCTTGTCGGCGAAGTGGCTGATATACTTGACACCGGTGCATATCCTCCGCCGTAACCAAACGAGCCAGCCCAAGCAGAATCTGGCGCATAGTTGTGGCCCCCGTCATATTGCCCTGGGGGATGGGAGATGTCTTGGTCAAATTGTGAAGAAACAATCGAGTTCTGAGTTCGCAGCTCATGTATCCGCGAAGAATCATAGTAGTAGACGTGATTGGTATCGCTTAACGGAGAAGCAGTTGACAATCGCCAGCCGTCATGTTGGCCCGAGGGAGCTCCTTGACGCAAGGGTTCTTTGCCCATAAGGTTATGAGACTCCATACTCCAAAGGTGTCACCATGTCGGGCGAAAGCGGGTGGGAGGCAGCTGCAGGAACAGTGCAAGAGTGGCAGGACAAGACACGGGGAGAAGCAGATTAGTCGCGGAGCCGAGGGTGCAAGTGTGAGACAAACGCAACTCGTTGGAAGGACTGCAATCAAACTCACGGGTTCGTCGCAAACCCGGAAACAGGACGTCTTGCGCGATGACTCGGGATCGGTCGAAGATTGAAAGCAGGATGGAGTAATGGAGTAATAGACCAACATTGAAGGCCAGGCCGGGGCGAGCTACGGGAAGGATCAACCCCGGCTCGACCGCTCATATTAGGGACATCCTGGTCAATTCGTAGGAGACTGCAGGCAGCATTTGAAGGGCAGCATGCTACTAGTACTACTATCCCCATGGCCCCTCCCATAATACTCCGTAGATGGCTTTTGATGCCCCTGGCCTGGTTCTCAGCTCCTCAGCGGGAGGTGGGCCTTCAATGTTGCACTTGAGCCTTCTCCAATGTCAACGTGGTGGACAAGATGAAATAAAGTGGGCTAAGGAGACGATAGGGCTGGCAGTGGCCGTGAGAAATTGGGAATTGTGTACGGAGTAACAGCAGGGTCAAATGCTCCTTCCTCCTGTTTGAATGCCCTGGTGAAGAAGGGGCGGCGATCTCGCGTGTAAGGAGTATAGCCAATGGCATGTCTTTGCCAAGAAACCTCGCAACACTGAACAGAGCATCCGCGAGTTATTTCCGCCCAAAATATCAAAATATCCATGTCTAATTTCTCCATTCTACCGAGCACTGCGTACTTCAACGACGTGCTGCGAGGAGGTTTAACACCGAAACATTGAACAGGCCGCAGGAAGAGCTGTCAAACATCGAGCAATAATAGCGCCACTGAACCATCAGCCGCCATGCTGCCATGCCGCCATGCCGCCATGCCGCCATGTGCCACCTTAAGCACAGATGAAAATCTTGGCGCTTTGCCCCCAAATTGGCCAACATGTCTGGCATTGATTGGGCTTCGTTGTGGCCAAAGCAGGCAGACGGCCTCATCATTGGACGAATATACAAAATGCACACATGCCACCAGACCATTGACCATGCACCTGTACCAGGAGGCGGCCTCTCACAGGCTCCCAGTGGAATGGTGCCGTCTGGGTTGCCGCGCATTTGCGCCTTCTACTGTATCTTCTTGCCCAGCTCAATTTCAAAGGTTGGTCACGAAGACGCTGGCGGTCGCATCTCGTGAAAAATCAACCCACAGCCAGTGGTTGTCGACCATTTTATTTGCTGGTACGGAGGGAGCAACTTTACACATGAGCTTGGGTTGGCCAGTACCGCACCAAGATGCGAAGCACGAGAATACAAAGCTGTGTAGTCCATTAAGCATACATGGCAAGATTTGCATGACGAGCCGTCTGGACACAAGGCAGAAATGTTGTACTTGGGTGCGTCTACAATATACACATGTCGAAATATATGCAGTCTATGAAATACTAAAGCCGGAATAGATCATCCTTCAAAACCAGCCGTAAAACGAATACTGGCTGTTTATACCATGACCTGACGCCAGTTCCCACCCATAAAAAACACAGAATCGAAAGAAATCGCTATCGCTAGAACATGCCAAGATACATACATGAATGATGCCTAGTGACACCAAAGACTAGCGACTGCAATCGCCGCAACGGATACCCAAAGACTTTGAACAATGATGCGTGATGCTGCAGAAGGCTGGCCGCAAGGCTTGCTGTAATCATACGTGACGTTGTTCACCGCCGCTGCCGCCGCGAATACCGAACAAGGCTTCGGTGAACCATAGTTGTAATAGTCGACGTTAAGGACGTTTGGTGCCCGTCCCCAGTCTGAACGGCAGTTATTCGCCGCCAGCCCGACACTCCCAGTACCATTGAAGCCGTTTGTTTCGTTGAGCAGAGACACTGCCGGAACAAGTAGTTGGACGCCAAATACGTTAAACTCGACGTTGAGATTATGGTTCATGATATACATCCTGTCCATGGCCGCTTCCCTTGACAAGTCAGGCGGACGCTGCACAGTACAGGGAAAAGCGCGATCCTGCGGGTCGAATGGCGACTCCCAAATCTGAGAGAACTCGTCCAGCAGCCAAGGATACTTGGTTTGGTTGGCCTGATAGTCCAAAAACATGACGACTCTTTTCCCCCGGAGGATCATGTCCTCCAAGGTGGGCCAGTCGTTGAGGGCCATGGGAAGAAATGGCGCATTGTACACATACTTTGTGATGCCGGACCGCTCTATAAAGGGGACGTACAACGAGGGATCTGAATAGTTGCCGTTGCCGAGCAAGATGGTTACAACATCGTACGGGTGGGCGTCAACCCAATCTGCAACTTGGCCCAGCCAGTTGTAGATGGGACCGGCATCCAACAAGTCGCAAGAGGTGTGGCAGAAATGAGGAGTTGACGAGTTTGGAGGCCACTGAATCTGAGCTTGGAGAAAGCGAACGCCGTCATTGAGCTGAGTCAAGACGTCCACCTCCTGATTGGAACCGCTGTTTCCGGGCCGGACAAAGGGTGAGTTATGACATCCAACATTCGTGATGTTGCTGTACCTTCGCGTGCAAAACTCGACATGGTTGTTACAAGGCTGTGTGTTTGTAGGAGCCGAAGTCGCGGTGGCGGTGAAGTTTGCACCTGTCGTCATGGTTCCGCTCGATGTCACGGCGGTCGTCGAGCTATTGGCCCCGGTGAGCGTGATTTTGGAGCCATATGACTGATAGGGCCCAGTAGGGGGACCGGTCTGAATAGATGGTCGTTCTGTTCTTGTTCCGGTGAGAAAGGTGAGCTCTGACGTCGCCGAATACGATACTGTTTGACACACAGCTACGGGTGTCAGCAACCCCAATGCGCTGAAGGCTGCCGCCGCCGTTGACAACCTCATTATGAACAGATGAGCATGGAAACCAGAAGCAGCTATTGTGCTGCGCGTCAAGAAACGAAGGCTCAGAGCAGCTGCAAGGTGCCAAGTGTAGTTCTTATGCACCCACCCTGTGTAAATGAGGTGTTTTTGACAAGAATTGAAAAGCGGAATCTAACGAGTACAGAGGAACACAAAAAATGCAGTCGATGAAGAAGAGATAAAAAAGAGAGAGGGAGAGATGTCGTCAGTCGCCGGGAGCCTCCCCGATCGACGTTGGGCGACAAACCAGATGGGCTCGAGCTGACCCATGGACTAACTGCGCCGCGCTGAGATTTTGTCCCACTGGGCGATGAAACCACCCCAGACACACTTTCGAAGATGTCCCGTTGGCAGAGCAAGACTAGAAATCGGTTCTGGCTGGCAGACCCAACAGGTACTTTCACGTTGGCAAGAATGGGGACAAAGATGTTTATCCTAGGCTGATGGAGAGCTACTCTGCTAGTGGCATGAATGGAACAAGATCGCCAATAAAACCCAACGTCTACGGTCAAGGGAAGGACATCAGCATCGAGCTAATGGAGCTGCTAAACGCCAAGCACCTGAGTGTTGGAATAGTGCATTGACAAGCCTCCAGTGCGAGGGATGGCCGAGTCTTCAAGGTCCGTCGATCATTCAATTAGATGGCTCGCGCATGAATTTGCCAGTTGGCTAACTTAGTCAACGTCTCAACCGTGCGAGCTAAAGCTGATGCTCTCTTTTCGTGGACACACGTGGGTCGTGATGGAGAAGCAGAGGCGCAATGTATGACCTCACTCTCGACAAGAGAACCAGACGTATCATCCCCCTTTTCGTCGATCTTGCACGCCAGAGCCAATGGTGCTACCTGAAATTTTTATTCTCCTCGTCTCGCACACCAATAGATTTGGCCATGGTCCTCTGGTCGCTGGCGATAGAACTCGGGCTTGGCTTTGTAAACAAGCAACCATGCAGTGGAACTCTGGTCCACTGAGCACTAAACGGTGCCGATCCAACGCCAGGTGAAGAGGGGAAACGGCTTCGTGGCCGCAGTAGCCTTGGCCCGTTGGGATCTGTTTTGACGACAGACCTCTCCGGGAATGCGTGCCGTTGTCCTCCACTGAGTCCAGTCATGCCTCAGGTTGTCACTGATTCGCTGGCGTTTATCCCGTTTGCTGCTCGGCGCCAGTCTGGAGAAGGCTACTATAGGGCTTGGGTGCCTTGCTGCCGCGTACTTGAGTAGCCATGCCCGGATATCCATCCCCGCTGCTCTCATCCTTGGGCGATCGATAGTCTCGCAGCCCAGACGCGCAAAATGGGGACGAGGATGCCCTGGCCAAGCGCATTGCCTGGTGGAGCGGTCCACCGGCCTTTGGAACCAGCGTGAAGCTAAAGACAACATGTATTGATGGCTTCTGGAGCTGGATTTTGTGGGCTCTAGCAAATGTGCAATCACAGACATGTTACACTCCGTACAAGTCGATTGATTGTCGCCCGGATCTCTCCCTCATGTCTGGCTTCTGCCACCTGTGTCTCGCCGACGACGTCACCTCGACTCATCTGCCCCGTCCCAAGTCTCCTGAACCATCCATATCCCAACATTTCTATGCCAATTTCGTCGTGCCGATAGCATCAAATCAGCGGGTCAACGGCTACGGCACCGTCGTCTCACCACCAAGACTCTGTTTCCGAGCCTTGGGATTCGACGCCATCGAATGTCCAAGTCCAACATGGCCGCGCCCAAAGCCCGCCGCAACACCACCATCATCGCCGCGCTATTGTACCTCATCTCTATACCGTTTCTCATCCTCACCCTCATCGGTAATACGCACGATAGACCCGTCTTGCGAGACACCTACTTCTTCAAGCTAGACGTTGCCCAAATCATCCCCATTGCCGTAGCAAACGCGGGGCTGCTCAACTCTGTAGCCAGGAGTTTGGGACTCCACGACTTCTACCAGGTTGGCGTTTGGAATTTTTGCGAGGGATACAACGATGTGTATGTCTATTTTTTTTTTCTTTCCCCATTCGCTCCGCCTCTCTGGGCTCGTATGCTGACTTGATCCGAAAGCGGCATCACGTATTGCTCGCCTCCCAAGACATTCTACTGGTTCAACCCAGTCCAAATCCTCGTCAGCGAGCTTCTCGCCGGCGCCAGGATTGCTCTGCCCTCCGAGGTCCTGACGATTCTGCGACTGCTCGAAATCGGATCCAAAGTCATGTACGCCTTCTTCATGGCCGGCACCGTCATCAACCTCGTGCTGCTGCTGGCCACGCCGCTGGTCATGCGGACGCGGTGGTTCTCGCTGTTCCTCTCCCTGCTCGGCGGCCTCTCGGGTCTCGTCCTCACCGTCGCCGCCATCATCGCCACCGTCATCAGCGTCGCCGCCAAGATTGCCCTCACGGCGCAGGACCAGCTCAACATCAAGGCCAACATTGGCGTCAACATGTTTGCCTTCATGTGGATTGGAGCCCTGACCACCGACTTTGCCTTCCTGCTCCACGCCGCCATGGGCTGCTGCTGTAAGCCCGTTCGCGGCAGCAAGTCGCCCAGCGAGCCGTCACCCGAGGGTAGCACGAAGAAGCCAATGACACACCTGGCTAGTTTTATAAGACGGCGAAGGGGGGCGTCCCCTGCGTCGTAGCACCTTGCGTTTTCTTTTTTTCTTTAGCTGCTCACATAACTTGGCGCTCCGGGATTTAGAGTTTGGATAAAGCCATGATAATTTGCACATTGATTTTGTTATTGAGGCCCTCAGCGTTGCGCGTACACTAGAATAGAAGGAACGTAATATAAACTATAAGACATATCCGCAATACGTTACATCTCAATGCCGCCTCGTAACTCCCCTTGGCTGCGGTGGCAATAGTAATGCAGGATATTCATTACCACGTACGCCTGGCCACCTAACCAGTATTGCACCACATACACCAAGTGCTAGGTGGCAATTTTTAACCAATTTATTACATCTTGTCACACACATCAGGAAATGAGATGCCACGAAGCGCGGCATTTCGATACAAGTGCAAAAACTCGACTAAATACAGAGGGAACAAAATGCCAGCTTAAAAGAGAGGAAAAAATCTAAAGAAGATACAAAATCTATCAAAAATGTGAAGGGAGGGTAAACAAACCCGATGGGCACGGTTTTGATCCATGCCGACATCCAAGGTACCCAAGACGACGTTCATACTTGAAATCCATTTCTATTCGGCGTCTTGCCCTTGCCCACCCAGCGCGACTGCGCCTCCGTCTCGGTGTTGTTATACGTCCCTTCGGGCGTAGACTCCAAGGTAGTTTTCCTCATGCCGACAATCTTGCCCCCCAGGGCGCCGCACTTCCTCGCACCAAGGCACTTATTCATAGCCATGGCCATGGCCTTGAGCGAGTTGTCGTGGATGGCATCCATGGTGATCCAGTTGGGATACGACTGGTCCGAGAGGGCGTCCCAAAACTGCTGGTACAGAGTCCTCCACGCGACGCCCGCGAGGCCGATGATGGATATGTGCGGAATCGCGGCGCCCAGGCCCTGCTGCGTGATGACCCAGTCCATGTTGTACAGCTCCGAGGAGCGCGAGGGGCGGGCCCTTAGCAGCCCCGAGACCTGGTCCTTCACGAGCTTCTGGAACGCGTTGGTGTCTGACCAGCGCGAATTGAGCGGCAGGTTGGCGCCCGTGAGGAAGCCCTCCTTGCTGCCCGGGAAGTGCTTCATCGTGGCCCACGACGTGGGCACGCGCACGAGCACGCACGACTTGCCTTGCTCGCCGCCGGCGCCGCTGATGAACCGGTTGAGAGGGCGCCTGGAGATGTCCGTGACGTTGGGCAGGTTCGCGCGGTGGTTGAGGCGCCGGAGCTCGTCGTACAACTTGTGGCGGCCCTTGTCGTCGAGCGGCTTGAACTTCCTGTCGCCGTCGCGCGTGTCCGTCTCGTGGATGTCCCAGATGTACATCTCGCCGGGGTGGTCCGCCATGAACTTGTTCTGCATGTCCACCATCTCCTTGAGGGTGGCGCCCAGCATGCCGTGGAAGGCGTTGCCGACCATGGAACCGTGATGCTCGTAGAACCTGCCCCTCTTGAGGCCCGGCCGGACGTCGAGGACCCTGACGCCGCCCCTGCCGAGCTGTTCGTAAAGAGTGAGCGTCTGTGTCTGGGTATTGGAAGCCGACCCCCAGCCGAAGTACTCCTGGCTCTTCCACTGCCCGGCGTGGTGAGACCGAGGCATGACGATTTCGCGCAGCGGCAGGTGCCCAATCTCGCTGAGCTGAGCCTGCATCCAAGTCGGGGGCCCGTCATTGGAAATAAACTCGCCCTCGTTGCCGGCAAGAATGAAGCCACTGCCCCCCGCGCGTGGCAAGAATCCGAGATTGTAAGTCGCGTTCTTCTTGCTGTAGATTGTCTCCAAGTCCTCCAAGAACTGAACGGCAACTGTGTGTTGCCGCCCAGAGAGGTACTGAACTTGCAGAGACATGGGTTTGCTGGTTCCTTCGATACGATATGTCGCCTCGCCAGCGGTATCGCTGACGAGATGCTTGGTAGTCTTGACGGAGACCGTGGTGGCCTTCCCCGGCTCAATGTACTCGGGCCATCCCTTCTCCCACTCCATCAGCTGGTAGGAGTGGTTGTAGGTTTTGTGCCAGCGGTAAGGCGTGGCGTTGATGAGGGAAACGTGCGTTTCGTTGTAGCGTTCGAACTGGAACTGGCGGGCTTCGAGCTCGCGGGCATCCAGTGTCCTGTTGGTGGCAGACACGTTTCTCGCAGAGGTAGCAAGTCCAAGCAGGGCGTTGGCAGCCTTGACGAGTGCAGCCATTTTGCAAAATGATTATACAAGGAAACCCCGTAGGATATTTGATTGGTAAGATGCCTTGAAGAGTAGTTGTGTGCCGGTTTGATAGACAGATTTGCACTCCGAGACTGTTAAGTGTTTACTTGATTTAAGAGAGCGGAAACTGGTTTGAGAAATGTTCAAGGCGTGACTGTTGGGAGATGGACAAGAACATGGATATTTGATCTTCGAAGAGGAAGGGCATTTGGTTCCCGTATCATCTCTGAGGAACTCATGGTGGCTGTCTAGCTTTGGCTGTGCACGATAGAGTTGCACATAGTTTTTTGCATAGACCGGTGGCTTGCGCTTAGCTCTGAGGTCAAGTGTTATATGGAAGAGTCCGCGGAACTTGTGACCAAGTACGTCCAACAAAATATCCATCGTCAACTAACGGACACACTTGTGAGCCCTTGACTTTGAGCCTAGTTAGTTCGTGGCGACCAGAGGCGGCTTTAGCCTTTGCCCTCCCGGTACAAGATTAAGGCCTGAAGATCTGTTATTCACTCGGCGAACCTAAATCTTTTTTTTTTTTTTTTTAAACCAAACCCTTTGGTTTCCAATTAAAAAAGCGCATAGACCGGTGGCTTGCGCTTAGCTCTGAGGTCAAGTGTTATATGGAAGAGTCCGCGGAACTTGTGACCAAGTACGTCCAACAAAATATCCATCGTCAACTAACGGACACACTTGTGAGCCCTTGACTTTGAGCCTAGTTAGTTCGTGGCGACCAGAGGCGGCTTTAGCCTTTGCCCTCCCGGTACAAGATTAAGGCCTGAAGATCTGTTATTCACTCGGCGAACCTAAATCTTTTTTTTTTTTTTTTAACCAAACCCTGTGGTTTCCAAGTCGAAAAGTGACACGCCGCTACCCGAGAAGGACCCATGTGTAGCCGTTGTTGCAGTTCAAGGTTCAGCATTCTGGAATAAAAAGACAAGCCAACTCTTAAGCGCAGACTTTGCACGTAGCATTGTAAAGCTAGTGAGGCAAGGCTATTGAAGTTTAATATGTCCTAGGTGCATTGGCTGCGGGCTGCTAGATTACTAACATGGGCAATAAAGCAGCTTATGTATTCATCAGCTCTTTGGGCAACCAGGCAGGTAAACCTACAAGAGAGACACAAAAGGAAATCTCGTAAAATGTCGTGATTATTAACAACGTGCCAACGTTATGCAGCATATGCAGTGTTCCTGAAAAGGGCCAATATTAGTCCACTGACGAACATGAATGGCCTTTTGACTCTAATCGCATCAACACACAAACCCATCTATGCCCTCAACTCCGGTCGTGCAGGAAACAGTCTCAAGCATGTGGTACAATGCCGGCCATCAAATCCTCATCCTCAATTTGAGAATCAAACCCGATGCCGGCATCTGTATTATCCTTTTCCGCCCGCTTCTGGTCCTTGACAAGATGCTTCACATATTCCTTGCTTCCACTCAGTCGGTCATTCATCAGTCGGTATTGCTTGCCAAGCAACTCAATGGCGGAGTGGCTCTGTGCGATGTGTGCAGCAAACTCTGCTTCGGACAGTACATCACTGTTTTCTCGGAATGATATGTAGGTTTCGTTGCCGTCCTGCTCAATTTGCCCATCCAACATGCCTGACTCAATCATACCGCCGACTAACGAGAGGACTTCTGCGTCATTGGGCAAGGGCTTCCCTGTCACTGCATTGAGAGTTGTCTCTCGGACTTGTGATATTTCAACTCGTTGATATGCTTGGCGAAATCCAATTATCTGCCACTTTTGATACGACGAGAGTATCTCGGTAAGGAGATTGCTCGTCCCATCTTCTTCCCAGAGTGTCGCATTTTCCTCAATTAGGGACTTGAGTTTCTCCGCATCGCCGTTGCAGAAGGCTTCTGCTATGGCAGCATACGACCTCCCTGTAATCTTATAACACGCGTTGGCGGATGCTGATGTGTAGCTGGGGACCGTCGGAATTTTGCCCTGGCTTAGAAGTCCTACCAAGATCCATCGCTTGTAACTTTCCACCATAATCTTGCTAACACCTCTATCCCTGGACGGATGGGATATCACCTGTTCGAACGCTGCTTCTGCTTTGGACCACAGCCCCATAGACATGTAAGCAAGTCCGCGAATGTGGTCGTATTCCAAGACGGTTGATTGCTTGACATTGTCTGTCAATCCTGTTTGCGCTGAAATGTACGAAGTCGGCGCTAGATTTGGCTCACACAATAGTCTACCGTCTTTGGAGTGACTCATATCAGGATAGAAGAGGATGTCACAATCGAAGACTTCCAAAGCGGCTTCAACGATATTTGAACTGTATGCGAGCTTGGCCAAGAGGAGATGCGTGGAGGTGAAGAAGGTTCCGCTCGGGTCGATGCGCAGCATGGCAGTCGACAGCAATGTCACGGCTGTAGCGGGCTGGAATCATGTCAGCTGGCTCAAATGTTGGACAGTGTCCATTAGTCTTACCGGGAAGAGCCTGCCGCTCCCTATTTTCTCAAGAAGGGAAAGCATAGACTGCCCATAGTATCGAATTTGTATGGCATCAAAATGCAGAACAAACTCTACTACCTTATCGAGCAGAGTTGCTTGTGAAATCGGCGTCGCGGGGTCGGCCAGCTGGAGAAGGATATCCAGAACGACTAGGTAGCCGATCGAGTGTGCCGCGGGGTCAAGAGTCTGTCAATGTGTCAGAAAGTAAGGGAAATCAATCGTCTTGTTTCGGGCGAAATACGGCATGACACACTTCAAGCAAAGGTTCCGGGTTGCTCAAGACAGCACGTCGTATTTCGGCAGCACTCTTGGTCAGTGTGGCTATATGTTGTCTAATAGAGATGTCGAATGCCTTGGCAGCGGAATTTGTGGAAGGCTTGGTGACAGGCAGTGCTGTCAAAACACCATGGACGTGATCCATGGCTTGTATGTGTCGAGCCCAGGGAAGGTCGGGCGATGACGGTTGCAGCAGGCAAAACTGGTCGAAATTGCGAGCGAGCTGGAGGGGTCGTGCCGCTGGCGTCAAATTACTAGCACGGCGACTTCATGCTAGGGTCCAGGCAGGGTCCTTGATCCGTTGTAGATGCACATCAACATGCGTAATGCTGATGCCGATGATTCTGAGAAAAAGACGTATTGTTTTGTGCAGGAACAGATGCTTGGACGAATGTGGCTGCCAGGCACATGCAGGCAGTCGTGCGAGAAGGAAGCTGTGAGATGTTGACCCCATGTTGTAGAGCTTGGTGGTTGGTGATTGGACGACGGATTGAAACAGACAGTGGGGTAATTAGCACCAAGTTACGGAGGAATACCTCATGGAGAAGCTGGCACTAAGGCACGCTGGGAGCTTTGAAGCATTCATAACATTCATAATTCGGCTGGCCAAGGTACCCAAGTACCTGAGTGCTGTGGCCTCCGACATCTGGAACTCCAAACTTCGGGCTTGAAGTGTTTCAATGTTCATCCCGACAGCTGTTCCCCTGAAATCAAGCACGACGTCAACCACACTGCAAGGCTGAGTCTGAATCAGTCCTACCACTATCACCCGTCAGACGACAGCAAACGTAGCATCCAGGGCACCATTTATCCGGACGCAGGCTAGGCAGACACAGCCCTGTCAGCCAGTTCCAACTTCCAGCCCCCAACACCCCTTCAACAAACATCATTTGAAGATGATATCCAGGGTTGTCTGCTATGAGCCGCTGGAACACCCAACAGCATCCACACGTCAATCTCAAGGCCCGCGTTTGCCAGACTGATGGGCTTAGAGCAACGGCAACCGCCAGCAAGCCTCTGCCGACGATCAGTGGCTGAATCTTCCAGCCCTGCAAAAACGAATCCCTCTCTCTAATTTGACTCGAGGTAACCCCGCCAATTGTCTCCGCAGATCTCTGTCTCTTACTCCGTAATCTAGTTCTTAATAGTAAAATAAGCAAAATCGTGTGCGTGCATTCGAATAAGCACAGATACGAGAAACGAATTCCCGCGCTCAGCCTCACTGCTGGTGATATGTCATTCAACGTGTGAACTTGGGGCTGAATGGAATCGATACATAAAGGGGGAGATACAACTGCTCAACATGTAGAAACTCGGGGGCTTGGTCTTCGCCCTCTTTAGCCTTTTACTCCCGTTGTCCAGCCCTACGGAGTACACGAAGCCAATCTTTAGCATGAAGCCCCTTGCCCTTCTCAGTGTTCTTTATCCCGTTGTCATTCGGGCTGTCCCCGGTGATCCATGCTCTGCCGCCAATGGCTACGGAGACGACTGCATCTGTGTTACCACTGAAATCTGCCAGCAGTACGAGGGCAACGCCATCACTGGATCTCGAGGCAAATACCCTTGCCCAAATGACCCGGCAAATGTCATTGGCTGTGTAGTCAAGCCCTGCCACAACAGGAGCGGTAACACGCAGTGCCTCTGGAGGAAGGCATGTGATAATGAAATGAAAGGTATCTACCGCCTACCGCCTTGTGAATACCCCCAAAGCCCGCTGTTACGTGGCTGATAAGACTTGTAGTCGCTTCTTGCCCCGGCGGCAAAGACTTTATCTGCTGCAACCATCATCTTGATGCCGTTGGTCTCTCGAATTCTGCTAAAACTGGTTCCGCCATCACCAGTTCTGGAGACACCCAGACTTCTACGACTCCTGCGACAACTACAACAAAGAGCAAGACTTCTATTACAAATACGAGCAGTTCAGAGACGACAGCACCCATCGCTTCGTTGACTTCTGCCCCGAATACGTCAACCAAATCCCCTGTTGGGTCGTCGCATACCACTGCTCCTGCGACTACTACTTCCCGTGCCGCTGGCACCTCAACTAGTATTGCTATTTCAGAGCTTTTGGGCGGCCTGGCCGCACTGTTTGCTGCCTTGATCTAAAATCAAGCCCGAGCTGGGCTCCACAAGGTGCTCAAAAAGCAGCATGCAACTGTCTCTAAGTGAACGCGAGGATAATAGTAATGATATCAAGGATGAAGTGAGCCTTGGGAGATGAAGCTCATGTACCTAGGCATATAAAACACTGTTTATATAACACTAGCATGTGCATACCAAGCTCGCATCATATCAACCAGTTGGCGGTGCAGCATGGGACAAAACCTGCCTCAAAGAAACCCACGTAGCATTTCCACACACCATCAATATATGTCCAATCACCATACCCGGCTCTTTAATTTATCCTACCCAACGCATTCGTAACACGTTCGCCAATCTTGTCACTACTCGCTGTCCTCCTAGCTCTCGAGCTCCACGCAAAAGGCACCAAATCCCTCGGTCCTCCCGTCCTGCTCTCACTCCCTACTGCGAAATCAGCACAACCTCACAGTATTCAGGCGCAAAATACAAACCGTTATTTTGCCTCTGCCCACCTGAACCTCTCCCACTCATCGAGCTACTCAATTCACCACTCTGTCTCCCCCGGCCTCCCGACAAGCCTATCGGTAAGGGCACCATGAAGATTCCCATCCGCCATGCCGCGTCGATGAAACAGCCCCAAGGACCGCTGCGTAGCCGTATCCGACGGCATTTCGTGCTTGAACCTGTATCCTCGCTGTGTAAAGGCGCATACCCCTTCGTGGATCCATTTGTCGCAGAAGATCCTTTGCCTTGACGCGGTCGAGGGCCGTGTTGCCGGTTCCCCGTGCTATTTCTCAGAAACTTGTCAGCCAACTCGGGCGTGGAGGTGAGCGATTACGGATGAGAAATATGTGAAGAGTACCTGAGCAGCGTGCCGATACCCACGCTCTTGGCCCGGATTCACCGGCAAAGGCGGCAAAATCACCATGTTATCATGCCTCGTCTCTCTGCGAGACACGTTATTCATCGGAGGGAGCATGTCTGCCGGAAGCAGTCTTGTGTATTGCCCGTCACCTCGGTCTAGGTAATAGCTGTTGACGTTGGCTGAATGAAGGGAGCCACCTGAGCATCGGGGTGGCACCGGTAGGTTTGGCTCCGCGTTAGCCCGTCTTGTCTCTATCATGAACTGAGAGTCACGGTCCTCATTGTAACGGCTGGCCCATGATGCTGATGGGTCCTGAGGTGGCTGGAGATTGTTCATTCTACTCGCAATAGCTGTCGTAGGGGTGCGTAAAAAGTGATATAAGGTGCGAATGATTAATGAGATGATACTACATTACATGATTGATAATTTTTTTCAAAAAAATAAAATAAAAATAACTAAAGCATGAGTGATGAGGTACGCATCACTCGACAAACGCACTACTCATCTGCGTTGGCTATGCAACTTCCCGGATCCACCATGTGAAGGTGCACAAGTCTACAAGTCAGTATCACGCTGTTTGCCCCATCCAAAAGACGGTATAAGTACTTTGGCATCGGAGATCACCGGGTCCATATAGCATGACAATCGGGAGTACCGTTTATAATGAGGCTTCTATTCACTAGGTGGTCTTCGTTTCCTTTCCGTAGCTAAATGAGCAAGTGTAGGTAAGATATTGGGAAATTTACAAGTCTATCCTGTAATCTGCGGTAATTTCTTAACCTCGCAATCCATGTTAAATCAGTGGCCCAATATCTCAGTTCAACCAGGCTCACGTTGTTGTTGTTGCTGATTAATTTGTTGTAGTCTCGTTTCCAGCAACTGTAATTGCCGAAGATTTGTGTCTTCTTTAACTGGGAGATGCTGAACAGCATCTATAGCCAGTCGTATACTGGATTCGGAGAGCTTCTGTACTGGAATCCGTAATAAAGGTAAGGAGCGCAAACTAGGTAAGGGTCCAACATGTTGTGTTGGTGGCTGAGCAGACTGTGTTCTCGAATGCGATGATACCGGAAATCCAGATGTAGCGCCAATGGACCCTATTTCTGCTGCCGCATTGCTTGGGAGTGTTTGGGCCTGGGCCCAGTCAAAGGAGTCAGAGGCAGGGAAGGCGGAATAGGCGACCCCATTGGAGAAGTTGCTCGAATGGGATCTGAAGCTGCCGGGGAGGTTCGTGGCGTAAGGTGCGGGTTGGCTGTACGTTTCTTCATTTGAGGGGACGGAACCGTGTCGTGGGGGCACGTAATTCGGGTTCCTGTATCTGAGTTTGGCCTTTTCACTGGTGTTTTTGGAGATACCACCTTTTTCGAGGGATGTAGCGGCTTGGAACGTTTGCTTCGTCCGATAGGGCTGGGCTTGGGTTTTGGGCTGGTAGACGTGGTCTTGCCCCTGAAGCTCGTCTTCACTGGAGTTGCGCGCGGTTTTGATGTGGGACATCCTGACGTCTTGGACGCCCTGGGTTCTGATAGTCGGCTGTTTCGTTGCAAGGTCATCGAGGTCGTTTTCTGCTGAGCTCGAGTGTCAATCTTCTTTGTTCTCGTGGACTGTGTTGTTGGGGTGACTGATCCGGTCTTTGGCTTGGGAGGAGAAGTCGTTCGCTTTTTACCTTCTGCTTCATTGTCCCCGTCCGAAGAAGACGAAGAACCGGCGGCCGCGAAGTCATCCGAGGAGTCTGAGGCATTAGGCCCACCGACATCCTGGAGGTATTCTGCTAATGTATCGGACTTGTAGTTAAGAGTCTGCGAATGTTAGCTATGGCTCTTTCAGGAACTTTCAAAAAATACATACTGTCCGGCGTCTCTCTCCTCTTCCCAGCCTCTCTTGATTTGCTTCGGCCTGGCGGCGAGCCTCCTCTTCTCTTTCTGCAAGAATCTTGTCCCAGACACTAGAGGAAATAGGTTCGGGGGCTTCAGCCTCGGCAGCTGCTTTCAATTCATCTTCTAAATTTGCTTTATCATTTGACCAAACCTTGGCATAGGTGAATTGAGCCTCCGCAGAGCCTTCATCATCAACCTTCGTTTGCTCGGTTTGAGATCGGTCTAGAAGTCTGTCAATAGAAGGTCCATCGTAATGTATAGCACCTTTTTGATAATCATCGCTGAACAGTGCCTGTGCACCGTGGGCTAGGATGGACTCCAAGTCATCCCCAGCAATTTCGTCATCATCCAGACTTTCAATCAAGGCGTGATCGAGAGCCATCTTCTTCTTGCCAATCTGCATGATTCTCTCCTCAACAGTGTCCTTGGTCATAAGCTGAAAACAAAGCACCTTCTGCTTCTGACCAATACGATGGGCCCGTGATAAAGCTTGAATATCTTGATGCGGATTAAAGTCGGGATCCATGATAATAACCGTATCAGCTGTGGCCAAGTTAATACCGACACCTCCCGCTCGTGTTGATAGTAAAAATGCAAAAATCGCAGAGCCTGGCTCGTTATAAGCGTCGATGCGACGCTGCTTTTCCAAGCTTGAAAGATTCCCGTCGAGCCGCCTGTATTGATAGCCAATGCCAATAAGAAAATCCTCAATGATATCTAGCTGTTGGAGAAACTGGCTAAAGATCAAAACCCGGTGTCCCCTCTCCTTGAGCTTTGGAAGCATTTGTTCCAGAAGCAGGAGCTTTGCCGAAGCTTCCACGAGATTGCGGTGGATAACGACTGGGTCATCGTGCTTTTCTTCAATTGCTTCAGAGTACATGAATGGGTGGCAGAGGCACTTGCGAAGTTGCATCAGAATATTGTTGAGGGATCCTCGCTCCTTCTTGTTCATCTTACTGTTGGCAAAAATCGCTTTGATAAGCTGGGGGTTTTTTGCCATGATGCTCTTTGAGAGCTTTTCCTGAATTACCGTCATGGTAACCGGCAAAATAATCTGGGCCATTGGGGGCAGAAACTTGAGAACCCCGACCTTGGTCCTTCTCAAGAAATATGGCCGAATCTTTTCGTGAAGCCTCGGCAGAGTCTCTTTATCGAGGACTTGGAACTCCTCGTCAAGTTTCTCGGCACTCTGCGAATGGTCGATAAATTGAATCAGATTGAACAATTCTCTTTTATTGTTCTGCAACGGGGTTCCAGTCAGCAGCAATCGAAATGGGATCTTCATAACACGCAGGGCCTGGTAGAGCAAGCTGCGGTCGTTCTTGAGTCGCTGCCCTTCATCGACAACCAGACCTGCCCACTTAACGGAATTGAAGCGTTGACTAGTTTTTGGGTCCTGGGTGGAGTCATAAGACATAATAACAACGTGTGCAGCCATTTCTCGCGATCCATGTGGGAAGAGTTCGTGCTTGTACGCGAGGTCTTGCGACTCCTTGCCCCCATGGTAGGTGACTACTCGCAGCTCCGGCGCCCATTGTTTAAACTCTCGACGCCAATTCGGGCATGTTGCATTTGGGACCGAAATAAGAAACGGCCAGCACTGTATGTATTTTAGCGAGTGGAATATTTACAAAGCTGTGGTGTCAGGTTGCTTACCTTGGGATTTTCTTGCACAAGGTACACCACCAAGCTGATGACCTGAACGGTTTTGCCGAGTCCCATTTCATCTGCTAATACGACGCTTCGCCCGCTGTGAAAGTTGTTCAATAGCCAGTTCAGACCTTCTAACTGATATCCCATCAGTTTCCCTCTCTTGAGTCCGGCTGGTTGAACATCAACTTCCTCGAGCTCTTCCTCTTTAAATGCTTTTATACGCTCCCTCATCTTGGTTGGCAAAGAGTGCTTAAAGTACTTCCCAGCGAGATATTCTTCGTATGCAACTTTGAAGGCGTCGTAAAGTTCGCCCGAGTTGGTTTTTGGTGGTTCGTCCCATACCACGTCATCGTACCCAAGGCCCTGAAATTTTACCAATACTTTGCTGATGTGCGGGAGGTTGTCTACATCTTCTTGTCTGGAGTTAGCTCTTGGTACGGCAGAATCCAGCTTCACCCGAAAAATGATATCGATCATCAAGTATTCATCGGGAATGGCTTCCTTCTCAGTAACTTTGAATAAGTCGACTTCGACGGCTTTCTTTGCAAAACTCGTTCGCATTGCAGAAGCCGCAACACCGAATATCCAAGCGCCTGGCATCCATGTGCAGTGGAAGTACGACATGCCCTCCCATTTGACTAGATATTCCTTGTCATCATCGGATAGCTGTGCAAAGGCTGGACGTGCTGTGCTGGCCGTGGGTTCTGCTCGCCAGGCCACAAGCCGATGAATTTTTTGTTGCGCCACGGTGCATTCATTGCACTGCCAGTCGATGAAGTAGTCCTTAAGTGCCCCAATCTCCTGCTCTCGCCCAGGACTTGGGCTACCGATCAAGGGTAAATGATGCTGGTGCCAGCCTCGGTTACAGCTGGTGCAGCGGAAAAGAACATTCTTTGAATTATTGACCAGTTCATCTGGCACACTGGTGATAGGATCAACTCCGCCGTTCTGTTCTCTTAATTTTTCTTCTTGTCGGGCTGTCTGCCTTTGAGAAAACGGTGTGCAAGAACGACCTACTGTCTTGCATGATTGGCACACTGAACGTCGTGGAGCTAGGGGATCTTTTTTCTTGTGTATCTCAATACAGAACCGGCACTGTAACACGAAATTGGCTTCTCCCACTTTTGTGACTAGATGCTCACGCGCGCTTCGATTACCGATGCAATGTTTGTGGTAGGAATAGCTACAACCCTGGCAGTAGATTATCTGGCTTCGGTTATTAGCACTACCACAGGTATGGCACGTGTTCGTGTGTACGATTGCAAAAGAAGAATCCGGCGGTACAGGTCGAAACAGTTCTTTGACTGAGGCAATTTTCGGAATCCCAGGCTTCTCTTCAACTTGAGTAAACGAGTCTTCGTCCAAGTCGAAGTCGTCCTGCAAATATCTGACATTTCGCGTAGCCCGGGACGATCGCCTGGGCTGCTCAAATTCTATATCGGAGTCAACAGCGCCTCTTCGTGTGGACGCGCGTTTCCGGGCCGGGGGTCGCCGAGATCGCAACATAGAGCTTCTTTTTCGTCTAGTGCTGGCGATATCAGAAACGACTGGCAGAATAAAATCGTCACCGTCCTCATCTCTTGGGCTTCTGGACGGGCCATCATGTTCTGATTCCTGAAGAGACGCTTGCGGAAACCTAGGCTTTCTCCTCCGAAGGCTACGTCGACGACTGTCGAATATCACAGCGTCTGAGTCGTCACTAGCGTCTGAATTTGATTCCGTCGCATTCCTCGAAGTGGTTGGCTCTTGAGTTCGTCGCCTACGGCTGCGGGTGGCTGCGACGGCTTCATCGGGTTCTTCCGCATCCGTGTCGGCGTCCAGGTCCATGACGTCTGAGCCGTTCGAGCTGCTGTCAGATTCCCAATCATCGTTGGGCGCAGTCTTGCGCTTCCTTCCAGCTCGTTCCATTCCCGTAAAATAGGTTTCGAGAGCCTGCGAGCCGTTTTCGAATCCTTCGAGCTTCAACAAAGGGATCTTGGCGCAGCGTTAGCAAATGTAACAGAAATCGAAGAACCACAACAAGTGTAGTGACAATGTGGGCCAATAGTAGGTTGAAAGTGTGTTTCATGCCATTTTTGTACCGCCTAGTGAGGGAATAAAGCAGCTGCCTTTGTGGTCAATGTGAGCGTTTGCTGATGAGTTGTCACCCGAGCCACAAGGATGCGAGAAACAATACATGTAGGGCTATCTCAGCATCAAATTGAAGTGAAAGGATAGTGAGAGGTCGGGTATGCTTTCGTTCAAAGGGCCCTTGAATAGAAACAAAGCAGTGGGAGCATTGTGATGTGAGACCGCTTAGTGCTGAACAATAAGAAAGTGTTCAGCATAAAGCTGTGGGACATACCATGCATTGTGTTCCGTCTGTTAACTCTACTGTCAAAAGCTCTCCATCATCTGGTGAAGCCGGCAGATCCAATATCCTCTCCACGGCATTACTATGCACCTCTTTGTATTGATCTCGGACATCCGACGGAATAAAAGGCAAGGAAACCTGAAGCTTCTGGCCATGGTACATAATATCAGTCTCCTCAATCTGCGGTACCTTCATCTCCGGGTCAGTTGTTGGTGATTGCTTGATTACTTCCATAGTCGCGATCGGCGCCGAGTCCCGTGCCTTTTCATCCGAAGAGTCTCGAGCATTTGATAACGCGTCGTTGCCTGAATGCTCTGCCGCTTCAGGCTCCAAATACGACAGGTTCTCATTCGGCCAAGAAGGCAGGTCGGACACCATCAGGCCATGCGAGTCGTCTTCTGACGAACTCCCGGGCCCAGATCGGTTATTTGAAAAGTCAAAAGAGAATGTCTGCTGTGATACATGGTTATCATGGCTCAAGCATACTGCCTGTTGGCCATCAGGCAATGTGTCATCACCATCCTCCATTTGTAGCCTGTCGTCGATCCGCAGACAATGACAATAGGGAAATAATTGATGAGGTCCGGAGTCCCCCACCCTTTCTTTGGATCTCGGACCTACTGCGGTTCCATAGGTTTACGAAAATTGGATTGGTTCTCATGCTATGAGAATGAGATGTCGTGGGCTCGTGATTTTTAAGGCTAACTCATCTCGACGCGACTCAAGTGGAATCATGGCGATTGGGTGGCTCCGGCCTGGAGCCAATCACTGACGCTTGTGACCCTCACCGCTTTCGGTACCTTTGCAATTGGCGGCAGAAAAATAGGAAGGACCCTCACTTGATCGCTGTGGACAAATTCCGTCACATGCTCGGAAGTCTCACGTATTACATCTGGACCAATGCAGCGGACTATTACAGTCGCTTATAATGCTATGATAAGCGCAGCAAGATGGCCAGCTGCTGGTCAACGCTGCATGCTGCGTCAATCGTTGTATAACGTCCCAGCGCTCAATGTCTCCCACTTAGTCCGCTGCGCAAGTTTATCCTCTATCCATCGAGGGCTAAGACGATCCGAACGAGCGCAATTTGGCGAGTCTCGTTCCTGGACGGCAACCCACGATGACAAAAGCCACAACCTTAGCCGAGTTGGGCGAACAACGAAGGCTCTAGGTGGCGCTGCGTCTAAACGGCAACAGCAAAAACTTCGAAAGAAGCTTGATCGCAAAGCTTCGGAAACTGGCGACGAAGACGACGTTGGCAGGCAGACGAGGAGGAAGCGATTTCTTGATCCGGAATTCTCCTTCGGGAAAAGAAGTCTGGTATATCAATTGAAACATGGCCCGCTGAAGGATACGGCCGCCTCGTTAGATTTGGAGCAACCGGTTCGGCCGCGACGCTTTCACGCGAACGACAAATTGCCCTCGCGAAACTCTCGAGATTTACAATCCTACCCACGGTCGCTAAACCCACAAAAACAACGGTCACGGATAGAAAATCGCGAAGATGACTCTATCCAGGATGCCGTAGCGAGACCACGAAGGCGCGCCATGTTGCCTATGACCATCAAATACACTACTGCGGCATCACAATTCCTATACGGACGATCCGTTGTCAAGGCAGCGCTCCAACAAGGAAGGCGCCAACTCTACAAGCTATACGTTTATGGCGGAGAGAACCGTAGGGGGTTTGATGACAACGACGCCATAATAAACCTTGCCAAGGCTCGCGGTGTCCCCGTTACTATTGTGCCTAACGAAGACCAGCGATTAATGGACAAGATGAGCATGGGCCGCCCACACAACGGATTTGTTTTGGAGACATCGCCTCTACCGCAGCTACCTGTGAAAGCTCTAGGCAGCTTAGAAGAGTCGCCTTCTAAGCTGGGGTTCCACATTGAGCTTGTGCATCAGACTATGGAACAAAAGGCAATCAACGGAGAGAATACGTTTGTCCCCAAAGCGAATAATTCTGCGACGAAGCCACTTGTACTTCTTTTGCATGAAATCTTGGACCCCGGAAATCTTGGTGCTTTACTCCGTACTGCGAGCTACATGGGCGTTGACGCTGTCGGAATAACTAGCCGCAACTCATCAGCGCTGACACCTGTGGTACTCAAGTCGGCGGCAGGGGCAGCCGAAGAAGTCACCATATTCACAGTCGATTCGCCAGTCGAGTTCCTGAAAGGCTCCAGAGCGGCGGGCTGGAAGACTTATGCTGCAGTGGCGCCTCCAGAGTCGAAGCTGCTCAAGATTCATGGCGACAAATTCATATCGACGGATTACGTGGAGCAGACGAGCCCCTTGGATCAACACCCCTGTGTGCTGGTGCTTGGGAATGAGGGGCATGGACTACCGAGACAAGTCAAGGTTGCTGCGGATTTTGAGCTCTCCGTGCCCCGATTTGTTCAGGGAAGTTCTGTGGACAGTTTAAACGTTAGTGTTGCTGCTGGGTTGCTCTGCCACACATTTGTGAAGGGCTCGGCGAGGAACAAGAACCGCGTGAACCAAATCCCAGAAGCAGATCCGCCAGAGAGAAAAGTGGCTGGGGAAACAAGCGAGCCTCTCTTCTGAAAAGTGTTGGGATGGAAAGTTCATCATATCTTTGTATATTATATTAAATCTTGTATAACTCCTGTATTAACACCTGCTTTGTCTACGTAATGATGATTCAATGAGCCGCGTGTATTATTACGTTTTTCAATGGGCAGTAAAGGACATTCATAGCGGAAGAGCAGCTTGGAATCTGCTGTCACGACCCTAATAAGGAGAGGCACATTGCCACCATTGTTCGTTTCCAAGTAACCAAACATCACTCAACGACTCAACGGCCCATTAATTGGTCGCCGGCGTATTCAAACTCCTATTGTCTTGTTGCCTCACCATATGTTGGTACAACTTCACTGGCAGTCGTATAATCCGGCGCGGGCACAGTGGTTTTCGCTTCTTTCGTTGGAGGAGGAATGCAACAAACGCCCAAACACAATAAGAAGAGTCGCCCTCAGTTCTACAAACTGCAACATGCCTCCCACTATTGAAAAGGGTGTCCTACTGACGCCATGTAAAAGCTGTCGGTTATGACAAAAATGTCCGGAAGTACTCTCGCTCAAGAGCTGTACCTGTGCGGTGTCATCCTTAACCCGTCGCTGGTAAGGACACAGGAATTATGAGCAGGCAGGCGGCCATGTAAGCTTTATATATTTCAATGACTCGGCAACAACAATATGTCTTAAGCCGATGAGTACAAAGCCAATACTACGCAGCACATTCAAGCAGCACACGACGAAGTGGTATCTCAAGAGAAAGATGCTGTTGATCAAGCTTTCAGCATAATCATCTGCAGAGGCCAGCGCCTTATAGCCAGAATCCATCACCCTCGACTCTCCAGCCCGCTACTTACCCTAGCTTTGACCAGGTATCACGACGGCAAACACGTCGATCCGCGGCAGCGACTTCCTCGGAGGTATCTACCAAGTTGACTACCCAAAGCGCTATACACGGACCAATATTGGCCCAGCATGCAGAATCGCTCATGGGAATGCCGTCGGGGCCACAGCGACGATTGAGCGGTTGAGCGGTAAGAGGGAGGACGAAATCCAGTATGCCTACTCAGTCGACCTAGGTACTCCGTGCTACAGGCGTCAGCTCCTTTGTCAGCTCCATGTTGGCCCGACGTGGCGCCCGTGCTGCATTCCAGAGGCGAGCTTCAACATCTAGCTGCAGATACAGCATACAACAGTAATCATGCTTGGGCACCTTGAACTTCTTTGCCATGTCATTATCAGAGGATTTTTCATCCATCCTGGGTTCTGTCGTGGCTTGGCCCACGTCTGCTGTGATGTTGGTTTCCCCAGCCACCGTTTTTTGTTTAGTTCAAAACTGGTTTCGCGTGCATCTCAAACCGGCCCAACAGCACCGTTGCAAACGTCCTGCACACAGTAGATCTTGCATCGCTCTATTTTACAGCATCGGGGGCACAGTTATTTGGTACATATTCCGGCTCAAGTGACATTCAGGCTCACGCCTTGCATCCTCTGGACGGCATATGACCGAATGCCACGACAATGGCCCCAGCGTCTACTCTGTTCCTACTTCCTGCCTCGCTCCTAGCTTTCGTCTCACAAGCGCTCGCAGATAATCGACCTTTTCCAATCGCTATCAAGAAGCAGTCTCCGGGCTCGGGCGAAAAAATATTGAGAGAACATCTTGCATTTGCGCCACTCCCACAGGTCCGGCCAGTAGTTGCATCTTCCTTCTTCGACGTGCTGTCAGATGAACCACATCAAGACGTTGACGGCACTTCTCGTTTCTACCCGCCTTTTGTAAAACACCTCCACGAAGCCGAAGATGATGTGTTGCGGCGTGCAGCAGAAGCTCTGGCTTTGCTGGAAAGGAGGTCATCGTGCCCTTCCGGGATGAACAATTGTGCTCAGCAGGGATCGCCCAACAAATGCTGCCAGCAAGGAACCTATTGCACTGATGTGCCCGACACCGACGTAGGCCATGTCGCTTGTTGCCCCAATGGCTCAACATGTGGCGGAGAAGTTGGAACGTGTCCGTCCGGCGCGACAAGCTGTGCAGCAGCTTTGGGAGGCGGTTGCTGCATTCCAGGATATGTTTGCCAAGGTGTGGGCTGTAAGTCATCCTCTGCTCGTCCTCTCAACTAAGAATTGCATGCTAATATAGCTCTGCAGGTGTTCCAAGCGCATCGGCGACCCCTACTACAGTTACTCAAACTGCTCCGCCAGAAGTTACGACAAGAACTACCACGCAAATAGTCACACCTTCCAGCACAAGCACTAGCGTTAGTACTGACACGAAGACCGATTCTGCTGCAGGAAATCCTCCTTGGCGACTAACAGGTTCTTCTGAAATCACGTCAGCTCCCGGGAGCACGTCAATCACACAGTCCGGCTGCCCAACAGGCTTCTATGGCTGTCTCGCCACCCATGGTGGAGGGTGCTGTCAAACTGACCGCGACTGTCATACGTACTCATGCCCGGCTCCGTCTTCCACGACTTTGGTCTCCAACGGCGCTACTGTTGTAGTTCCTGCCGCGCCAAATCCTACGAGAAGCTCATCATGTGCTGATGGATGGTTGATGTGTGGACAAAATGCCGGCCCCGTAGCCGGTTGCTGCCCGTCTGGATACTCTTGTGGTACAGCAAGCTGTTTCACGGCTGGAGCCAAGGAGACTGGCAAAATACAGAAGCAGGCGCCAGATCAGTCGCCTGCCACAAAGACTCCCATTAGGACCGTTGCAACGTGGATGTTGGTCGTTACGGCATCTTTGTTCCTGAATTTTGGGTGGTAGCTAACTGAGCTGAAGAAATAATGGATAGATTAGAGATGGAAATACGAAAGAGGGGTGCAAATATGAGATATGAGATATTGTCGACGGATTTGACGGGAGCCATGACTTGATACCAATAGAAGACGAACCATAGAACGAACTATAGAAATTGTACTGGGATTTTTACATCATCACCACCATGCTGTGTTTGTTAATGGCTACCTGCAAACCCATTGGGTTATCTTGGTGACGATATGTAGCCGTGATGGGTAGGTAATACAGTGGATTAGACGATCCGGGCGGCAGACCCGAACCTAGATGCAAGGTCCCGCATCGCATTGCTGCAAGATGGAGCCAGGCACATTGTCATTAGGTGCATTATTTGATCAGGTGCCAGGTACTTGAGTGGTTACAATGCACGGCTTTGGCCAGTGCGGTCCAACAAGGTACCAAGCGGTGTGCTTTTCCTTCTCGCAGAGTACTTGCGAAATATCCAGATACGCCGAGGTACCGTAAGTGTTTGAAGTTGACTCATGCTTCCGACCTCACTCCTAACCCCTCGTCTCCATCATCATGGCATCTGACACCACTTGTGTATAATACGGAGACAGCGTGATGGAGCCTTTATTCAGAACACTGGGTAATCACCCCATTCGATACATTTGTTCTGTATAAAATGTCAAGTTTGGTGCAAACTTCAATTTCTTGGCGCTCATGCATGACCCCTGCTCTCCCACCTGCGTTTTGCCCTCTTGGCCTTCTGGATTCTCTCGCCGTTTGGGACTGAATCATTTCAATGTTTCCCAAGCCGGACCTGCCTACAGCAAGCTACGCGACGCCAAGACATGATGTCCGCTGCTTCTGATGAATCCCCATCTTCGCCTGCAGGAGCACCCAGTTGCTTGCCATCTTTCAGAATGGAAAGTGCCGTCCTGCTCATAGAGCTTCGTCAATTTCGATACATCTCGTGCTCTTTTCTTGCTTAATCCTTCTCTTCTCTTTTCCTCTTCCACATCATTGCATCTTACTGCTCTCCCCCACAAACATTGGTTCCAGTTTGCTTTTTTTGTTGCTCATTCTTACTTTATCTATCTTGGCCGCTCACAAATTACCCATTAACCCACGAGGCTCATCAATTTCTACATCATGAAGCACTGCCTCAGGTTCCTCGCGGTTTCCACAGCCCTCTTGCTCCCTGCCATGGCTTCACGCACGATTATGCGTGACGATACTGATGGCAAGGGTATTATGGGCAATCCGGCCAAGGTCTGTTATCCCGAAGTCAATGGCTCCGGGGTAGTCCCGCCTTGCATTTCCATCTCCAACATCGAGTCTGCTTGCCAGCCCAATGGCACTGAGCCCGTCGACTTCAATGCTCACGCTCAATGCATGTGCCAGGGCAGCTACTTTATGGATTGGCGTGGTTGCCAGAACTGTCTCTTCGTCCATGGATTCCGCAGTGCTCGCGATCACGTCTACTGGGAAGGAGTTCTTTCTGTTGCTTCTAACTCTCTTTGCCAAGGCACTCCCACGGCTGCCTTTTCGGCCATTTTCTCTTCTGTCCAGACCAATGCCCGCGACGCCCCTTTTGTCACCACCGGCGATACCGTGTCCTCGGATAAGTTCCCGAGCAAGACGGACGTTAGCCTATACTATACAGCTACCGGTCCCCAAGGCCCTGGAGCCATTACTGGTGCTGCTGCCACGGCCACCCGTGTCTCGCATCCCTCTGCTACTAACCTGACGGCTTCGAACACCAGTGGCAACAACAAGAAGAATACACCATCGCGGACCGGATCTGGACCCGCGTCTGAGAACGCAAGCATTACGAGACCATCATCGTCTACCTCCACCGGCGGTGCCCCAGCACAAGGAACCGGCATGGCAATGGCTATTGCGGGAGCTGCTCTGGTTCTCGCTTTGTAGATAGAATAATTGGATGTTTAGGGGCTTGCAATGCGCTGATTATGATAATGACGAGAGGGGGTAAGGGGGTAATGGGTAATGACAATGGTGATAGAGCTTGGATGGTATCACAACATTCTACTAAGGAATAATACCATTTTCATGTTGATACTAACCTGTTTGTTTTCGTTTCGTGACATGTGAGAATCCATAAATGATATGAACATTGCCCTTAACGCATCAACCTGGAGCCTCACACATTGTGGGCTGCTTCGGTATTGCACAAGCTAATCTCCAAACATGTCTCCAACCATGTCTCCAACCATGTCTCCAGACAAGTCAGTTTCACATCTACGGGTCGCGATTTACTTGGTTGTTGGAGGCAGGGTATGTCGCACTAATTGTTTGCTACTATCTTCTCAATTGTTTTCAAGCTTCATCATTACATCATCACCTCGACCGTCTTGATTCATCACTGAAATGCCAACGTTACTCAGGCATGTGCTTGAAAGGCTTGGCCAAGTGCTCCTGGCAAAAGGGCAACTTTCCCACAGTCCAAATCTCAGTGTCCTAAAATGTATTAGCTTGTTTCAGTATCTAGACCATCAATGAGGGGCGAAACTGCAACTAACCGGCTTCAGGTTCTTCTTCAGTTCAGAGTCCAAAGTACCGGCCTTGAGGGCAATGATCTCGGGAGCGGCATCGGGGTCGTGGGCAATGGGGGAGCCACACTCGGAGCAGAAAAGGCGATGGACATCTTTCCCAGAGGAGCCTTTGCCGGTCCATTTCTTAATGGGACCATTGATGGTGAGCTTGTCTTTGGGGACGACGGCGACGAGGGCTGCAGTTTGGTCAGTGAGGATTAGAAACGGGGTATGATATGATGCGGCGGAAGAAGGGGGGACGGGGCTCCATATCTGGGTTAAATTGTATGAATCGGCACGTACAGTAGGTAGAACCACTCTGGCGCTGGCAGTCATCGCAGTGGTCGTAGCCCGTGATGATGGGAGCCTCGACGTCGGCGGAGTATGTGACGGCTTTGCAGAGGCAGTGTCCGGTCAGAGGCATGTTGGGCAATGTCGTATTTCTGGCCTGTCTTGGAAATGTCGAGATTGAATCGAGCGTCTAGAGATTGCAATGCTCTCAGGAAAGATGGAGAGGTCTGAGGGGCGTCCTCTGCGACCTGTTCTCGGCTCTTTGTACTGTCGACGGCTTGCTTCAATGGTGGGGTAAGTGACGACTTGATAGGCTAGACTGTCTCATGGGATGGATGGCACTCCTCCGTTCGGAGTAGAGCTCGATGGAAATAGCTGAGCTCCTAGTTGCAAGAAGCTCTGGTGGGGCAGATGACGTGGGAATTTCACAGCGTGTGGATGCCAATTGCATTTCGCTTCAGCAGTCGTTTTGTGGAGTTGATGTGCGGGTTCGTTGGGCTGTGCCGTTTGAATTGCCGGTGACGCTTGTGACATTCTCCCGTGAGGTGAAAGACGATTGCGTTTTTCTTATTCGTCGATACAAACGAGGATAGATGGATACGTTGGGCGTTTCTCTGGTTGTATTTGTGTTTCGTTGCCCGACTCAGCTGACATGCTCCGCTGGCGTGTTGGCATTGTTTGATTCCCTAGAACAAAGTACATGCCGTCCCGGATATTTGGAACAATCGAATGTCAATTTCGTTTCTCTGGCCCCTGCGGCCGATCCGGAGTCATGTATTTGTCATTTTCGATGCCGTGACCGGTATACCTGTCGACTGCATTGGCAACGAGCGGTACGGAGATGCTTCTGTGGATTTTAGCTTTTTTTTTCGGCGGGGAAGCGGGAAACGGAGGCGGCTGTCAGTTTAGTACAATTTAGCATCAATAGGGAGGAGTACGAGGAGATATGGTCTTGGAATTTGGAATTCATCCTGGTCGCGTACCTTTGTTGCAAAACCACGCAGGCGGCAACACGGGGGCGAGACCTATTGTCGGCCGCCCATCGCTTCAATGTTCCAACTGTTTCCATATCTGCTGCACAGACCAATTGAGATGAGGCCTCCTTTTTGCAGGTGCGGTCAATATCGACAACATGCACACTGCGGCGTGCTTCCCCCAGTCGTCGAATCATCTTCCCCTCGATGAGTCTATTCGTGGCTAGAGGTCTATGCTTGTGCAACGTTCGGGCCGAGCCCGTTTTGTCTCAGTGCGTCGGTACTAGTACTCCGTACGTCACCTCACAACAAAGTTTGCCGTCTGTTTCAATGTTGTCGCACAGACCCAGGCAATTCCAATTCTCCAGAGAAAGATGCAGAAGCCCAGAAAAGCCACATTGCCCAGAGCGAAGTGGTCAGCGACAAACATGCGGAGCAAGGTGGACCGGTATGTTGCCTTCAAGGTCGTCTGAGCATGTTCGAGCATATAAGCATCCATGGAGGAAATCCGAAAATCTCGAATATCAACAGTCGACGGCTCATCCGTCTTAGTGTCCGCAGATGTTGAAACGCTCGGAATCTTATCCGGTCGACGTCGCAAATTCTGTATTGATTTGGAGAACAAGTAGTCCATCATATTGGCGCATTGCAGAGGCGGAGATGTTTTCTTTAAAAGCAGGTCTGGTAACAGCTGCGGCTCGCTCACCCAGATGGTAGCACTATCCATGAACTCGGTGAATATGGCCTCGAAATCATGCGCATAACGCACAAAACGGGCATAAAAAATCGGCGTGAGAACCTTCAGCTCTAGCGACCTTCTGTCTTCGACTGAAGCATGCCAAGAAGGTGACGTGAATGTCTCCTCGGAGTTTGAAAGGATCCCACTCGACACATACCTGACCGATATCGGTTTCTGGCACCGCTCAACTAGAAATTTCAGGTAACTGCGGAAAGCAACCTCAAGCTGTCGTTCTGTCTTTGTCGCATGCCTTCCGAGGCTTTCTTTCAGCGGTTCAGGTCTATACCATACATGAAGCTCGCGCCTGAAGAAAAGTGCTGCAGCTTCTTTGACAATTCTTGGGAAGGTTGCAAATCCAACCCAACACCACGTCAAAAGGAACCTCATTTTGGCTACTGGGCCCATGGCAGCCGGATCGATAGCTTCTCCCTGTGAAAAAAGTCTGGTGACCAGCTTGGCATGGCCTTT